CATGCATTTGTCTTAAAATTTAGCTATTCTGTTCATGTCGTCTTTTCCACTTTTTCGTCTCGAGATCTGCTTGAAACTTTCAGCAACACCGAGACTACCGTTGTTACCTAGGCGGGATCTGTCAGCCATCACGTGCATCACCATAATCTGACAATATTAATTTATAGTGGATGTCTATAGATCTCATCCATACTTCACGTCTCGTCTTGCACCTCTCCTCATTTCTATGTATGAAACCAACATCTCCTCCTTTCTATCTATGCAACCCCAAACTGATCCATTCTAATCGTTGTTCGCCTCTCCTCTTGTCTACTTGGATGTTCCTCCAGTAACTAGCGGGATCCCCAAAGAGATCTACAAGGTCAGTGATCCAGCCCTTTGCACTAAAAAAGCCTTCAATTTTACAGTTCGTATACTTCCTTCTGGATTTTTTTAGGGGGACTTCCTTTTGGATTCTATCATGACACTTTTCAGATCTGAAAAACAGATAAAACTCGAGTTGTTGATCAAGTATCTTTTTTCCTATTTGGTTGCTAACATGCGCATCGATTTTTGCTACACCAAGATAATTTAGAACGTATGATATTCCTAGAGGAAATAGAAGAGAGGGACGGGAAAGGTGTACTACCCTAGCTAATGTTTATATACATGTGTTGCTAAGAAATATCTCCATGCCCTGGGTGCTAGTGACCTAGGGCCGCCCGTCCACCTTGTTCTATTGAGGACTCAGTTGGTGTGACAGGCCATTAGCTCCATACTGGTTGTCAAGGATGGTTCTCAGATTTCGAGGGTCTGAGGCAAAACTGGAATCCTAAGGCTTGTAAGTCAAACCAAAAACAACAAGTGAGACGAAACGGACAACTAATATTTTGGCAAAATCTCAAACGCAAGCCGTCAGATAGCCTTGCAACCATGGAGGAAGATTGTAGGAGATAGAGGAAAAGTGCATGACGCGTTTGATCCAATGGCCAGTTGCAAGGCCATCCGACCACTCGCATCAGCCGACCGATGTCTAGCATCGTCCTAACAGTTATAGGCCGCAATCTAGATTTTGCAAATTTATTTTGTGCTGATTTCACACATCAAGCCCATATATATGTACTAAATACGAGTCATGCCAACTTATCCTGCTTACCCTGCTCTCTCGCCTGGTCACTCGAGGTATGTATGTTCTTCCCCCAATCTGGCACTGGCGATGACGGAGCGCCGAGTGGGGGCATCATGACTTTGAGCCTCCCTATGCGCTCCTTTGTACCTCATCGAGCACGGCCGCATCAGTTGCGGTGTGCTGGCTGCACGGCCGCCACGGGGAGCCACTCATTTATCTTCTCACTCGATGCCAAACCTAGAGTCGAGAGCTAGTTAACCCCTCCAATTTCACTCGTTCCAACACTTTACCATCACCTGGAGCACTAGGCATACTATGGGTGAAGCATCCTTGCTTACCGTAATGTTTGGCATGAACAACTTTGTGTGTGCATTACTGATCAACCGGCAAGTCTTTGTGGGCTTCCTCTCACATGGAGTACATCTTTACAGGTGAACTACAACTGAAAGGATGGAAAGGAGACACCGGGAACGTTTACCTGTGCCTAGAGTCTTGAACAATATTTCTTTTTTTCGTTTTGGCCATGTATAATGGGTCATGGGTCAAATGCGTGAACGACAGGTCTTCTCATCTCCACTTCTAGGCTAGATCTAAACTTGAGGTATGAGCGAGTACCCAAAGCTATAGTTGTGGCATTTGATTAGCAAGAACAGACCGACCATTGTGACCGTTTTTCTATGTTGTTTGATTAACCAAGAGTGTAACCTTAGGGTGTGTTTAGTTTAAGAACCTAATGGAATGAATCGAATTGTTCCATTCCGCTGTAATTGGTTGGTTCTGTTCATGTGTTTTCTTAGAGTAGAAAAATAGAATGGACCAATTCCATTCCGGCGGTTGGTTCGAGAGATTAAATGACAAGAATCTGACTCAGCTCACCTCTTGGTGAGGTTACGTCACATATGCATATGAAGTATAAACTAAACGTATAGCTCTCTGCGTTAGACAAAATATTATTCGAATTTTAAACTTCATTTCTTTTCTATTTTTAGCATTCACAACTCACAATATACAATCATAAACATGCCAAATATATGTCAACAATTCCATGAACAAGATAACTACACTTCTATCACTAATTTCCAATGAACAGGATCAAACTATATCATCCATTCCATGAACAAGAAAATATACGGCATTCTGACAGCAACTTACATGGTTGGAAAAAAATCATGTTGCTCCTCACTCTCGGGTATAGCATACAACAACATATGGCATATACTCCCTCCTTTCCAAAATATTTGAAGTTCTAGGTTTGTCCTAAGTCAAACTTCTTTTAACTTTCACCAATTTTATAGAAACAAATGCTGATATCTATAACATCGAATATATACAGTATGAAAATATATGTTATGATGAACCTAATGAAGCTAATTTAGTGTTAAATGTGCAATCTTGTCTCTTTGGTCTTCTTAAGCATATATGTCTGAATTTTGAACTTAGTCACCTGCTATTGCGTATATTTGATGCATCTTCTTGTCCATCTCTAGACAACCCCAACCAGCTGCTGGTAGGTGGATCCAGTCGCATCATCTTGCGCCCCTCTTCTACTTGGATGCTTCTTGAGTTTCTTGTTGCATCCCTGCAGGTTTACATTTCAGGTTATTGCTACAGCTTTGTTTACCTGTCAAATTCTTTTGGTAACAATTAACCTGACTTCACTTTTACCGATGTATATTCTTTTTTAATTCTATAATGGAACTTGTAGATCTGAAAAAGGAATTAATTAAACACCACTTGCTAAGTAGTTCGTTAATTTTGAACTGGATATGCATCTATTTCCTAGCATGTACATGAATTTCTGCTATAGTAAGGATGTTAAGGTACTCTGTATTCTTCAGAGGAAACAGTGCAGTACATTTATTTTTTCCTGTGACAAATTTCATTCTGAAAGGTGCTTAAGTGACGGGTACGTATTCCACGAAAATCAAAATTGCATATTTGATCTAGAAAGAAGTTTACATGTCAACTTTTTTTGGCAAACATGAGGGTGGGGGTGAGAGGGCTGCGAATAAAGATGGGAACTTTTGTGCAGCTTAATTAAGATGGGAACTTGGTTTCTCTAGCAGTCTTGTTTGTGCATATCATTAGTGAGGGCGATTTTTATTGGAAAACATGGACAAGGGTGAAGCTAGTGAGTCCTGACATGCAAAGCATCGAGTGCTCTCAGCAACTGCAGGAAAAGAAATGCATGGTCAATCCCCGGGATCTTCCACACACTGCAAAATATAGTGTTTTCTTCAGGATATCATTGAGTAGCTCTCAGCCTTTTAGTTTCGATTTTCTTCTCATCCCAACTCTGTTCAGCACTACATCACATAGGCTTTTAAATGATAACAGTGGCGTTGTGATCTCAATTTTACAAGCATTATCTTCTTACATATTCTTGTATAAATCTTACAATGGTTTCTTTTATTTTCTATTCACGTAAAGCAGGGTTTTATTACATCGCTGGACATTGTGTAGCAGCTCCAGCTTGGCTTTCTGACACACTAAGTTGCCAATAGGTACACGCTTGAGATCACAATATCTATTTACATAAAAGAAGTACAAAGTCAAAAATAATAATGGTTTATTTTGAGAGAGTGGATTTGAACGTGCAAGATCAGGTGCTTGAGCTTATGATTTACATATACAAGACGATACCCCGTGCATTGCCGCGGAATTGGATATATAGTTTTAAATATTGTGTAGAATAGTCATTCAGTCCTTAAGATTTTAACTATGGGAGAAAGTTCGACATAAGCAAAAAAAAACTTAACACGGAAAGTTGTGCATGGCACAATTAAATAAATGTGATCTAAGAACCACTTAGAATGCAATAATGCATGTTGCATGGTAGAGGATTCTCATGTGTAGATTGAACGAATGCTAGTGTATCAAGCTAGTAAGTCTAATAACTACGACATTTTTTAATTGTAGAAGCATGCATGTTGTGATAATTAGAAGTAGTGGGTATCATTCTCTTAGGTATATAGAATACTTGTACATCTTGAAGAAATAATCAAAAAAATCTATTATAGTTGGAGAATTTCTTAAAATGCATAAGTATCTAAAGCATAAACATAGACACTCACGATTGCGATGCACATTTACATTTTCTTATTTTATCGAAAAAAGATCAAAGTAGGATACTTGTAATTGCGTATCCATGAATATTGGTGGGTGTGCAGATGCTTTACTATGAACAATTCTGTTGTATAATTACACCAATGTTGTCATATGGTAGTTCTACATGCAACTATGCTATATTAGGAAAAATTCTTAATGTTAGTGTTGAAAGTGCATAGTGTGAACTGGATTCCACATCAGATACATGGATCATGAGGTCTTGGAGCATATAATTGATGGAAGACAGAAGCCCACAGATCTACCATTTGCACTTTTGAAGGATATCACAGAAAACTTTTCTGACGATAGAGAAATTGGCCATGGTGGATTCGCAACAGTTTATCGGGTAAAGTTATTTGTTTATATCAAAAATTAGGTATATGCCATTCAAAAATCTCATTTGAAGTTGTTGTGACGGCTTGAACAGTCCTCGTGTTATCCAAGTATGTTAATACTCGATGTTGACAGATAGTAAATAACTAAATATATATCACAGTATATAAAGATGTTACATACGACTTCAAGGTACCATATAGTTTTGGTGGTATATAGTATGTATTGAAGCCAATAAATCAGGCAGGCTCTGTATGTCACGGGTACAGGACTGTGCTCATGCCTTGATATGGAAAATCTTTGTCGCCTTAAGTTGGCCACGGAGGCTCATCTTTTCCCGAGCATGTGCATATGGTAGCACGAGTGTAGTGTATTTCCATTAGGTGCCTTTACTTTGTGTTCTCCCGGAAACATTTGTGTCTACTAGGTGAGTCGGTGTTGCATACAACACCTTCTGATAAGCTAAACATTCTTCAAATGCTCACAAGAGAATCTAAACAGGGTGTGCTCCGAAACGGGAAAACCGTTGCTGTAAAAAGGATAATGAGCAACCATTCAATCAATGAGACGTTATTTCGCCGTGAAGTTGACACCCTATTGAACATTGAACATGAAAATGTGGTACGGTTTCTTGGCTTTTGTGCTAGCACAAAGCAGATAGCCATAAAAATTCAAGGATTGAAAGAGCATATTTACGCCGAGGTGAGAGAAAGATTGCTATGTTTTGAGTATGTCAACAATGGAAGCCTGCAAAAATATATTACTGGTACGTCATTGCTTGCATCTCTTATCTTCACTTACTTGTCCTTTTTATTTTAACCTGCTTTTGACATGCTTTATTTGGTAAAGAAGTGAGATAGACAGGAACACAATAATGAGGGTAATTTATTAATCTTGAAATCTATGGCATGCAAAAATCAAATGTTTGAAATTTTCTTTGATCCATGCTATTCTTTTCATTGTGCAGATGAATTACGGGGACTTGAATGGAACACACGTTTTGAAATAATTAGAGGCATTTGTGAAGGTTTGTATCATCTGCACAATGATAAGCAAATATATCATATGGATATGAAACCTGACAATATACTACTAGACAATGATATGATGCCGAAAATCACGGATTTCGGTTTATCGAGACTTGATGAGAAGTCACAAACTATGAGTGAAGAGCGTCTTGGATCACTGTAAGTGCATCAAAATAACTGAGTTTCTTGAGATTTACACTAACATTTTCGGATGCTATAATGAATTGGAGTACTGGCCTTCTATGTAGAGGATACTGTGATCCTGAATACCGAGGCCATGGAAGGATGTCATTCAAATCAGACATGTACAGTTTAGGCGTTATAATTATCGAGCTAGTAACAGGACAAAAGGCGCTCCCCAATAAGAATAACAATGTAAGACAATTTGATCTCGCCATGCGGGCAATTTATTTTTAGAAATATCATTTCGACTTTGCATTTTTTTTAACCTTTTTTAGGACTTATCCTACTTAATTTGCGTATTATGTATTGGATGACATGCATATCTAGTTAAATAGTAGTAATACATAGTGGAAGCTGCCCCATCCTGGATTCCTGGGCTCCGTAAACCACTCCCGCTCTCTCCTTCACGCTCTAAAATGTATAGTTTACCATATTAGGTTACTTATATGTGACACTGGCGGATTTACGAAGTAACTGCACACATGATTTATGAACAACATAAATTACTATGAGGGTTCTTTTTGTCATAGGAAATATAATTTGTGGGCCTGATTTGTTTTTACAAGACCACGTCAAGAGGATAGAGAGCTCCAGCACATTCATATATTAGAATGACTGGCCCAATTTAAGAGGTAACTAGGTCAGAAACTATATACTCCTTTTGTCCTGTCGTTATTTTTAGAAGACAACCGTGCAAAACCGTACAAAACCCCGACAAACAAGAAAAATCCTGACTCACCGTTACCTGGATGAAGGCGCCATGGGCTCCTCTATCGTCTCCTACCCAAGATCCGATGTTTCTGGCATGGGGAACCATGACGGCTGCGTGATGCGGCTGATAACGGTGTGTTAGACTGTATTTACATGTGTATATTGTAACATTGTATACCACCTCATTATATATATATATGTTATAGGCCACCCCTAGAGGGTTGTGCCGGTTCCCCCCAAAGCCTATTGTCTTACATGGTATCACGCTAGGTTACGTCCGCTTCCGCCTAAAAACCCTAAACCGCCGCCGCCGCCGCCACCACCGCCGCCGCCGCCGCGCCCGCCGTCGCCGTCGCCCGACTGCTATGACGTCCGCCGCTGCGTCCGGCTCCACCGCCACCGGTTTTCTGCCGGCCTCCCTCGCGGCACTTCTCTCGAGGCCGCTGGATGCCGCCTCCCTTCAGGCGCCGATCGGGACACGGAGCGTCGACTCCATCTTCGCGCTCCCGCCGGCTGCTACTTCGCCCGGGCAGGCGCTTGTGGCCCACACCGCCGCCGCCCCGTCAACCGCGGCTGTCGCGCCCTCGGCCATTGCGCCGCTGGTGGCGGAGGACGTCGCGCTGGCAGGCTTCGCGGCGTCAACCGCGGCCATCGCGCCCTCTGTCACCGCGTCGGCTGCCCCTCTGACTGTCTCCACGGTGGTCTCACCTCAGCCAGTCTCCTCCATGGGATCGCAGCCGCCGCTGCCGTTTCACTTCGGCCATCTCATCACCATCAAGTTGTCGTCGGACAATTACATCTTCTGGCGCGCGCAGGTTCTTCCGCTTCTTGGGAGTCACTATCTGCTTGGCTATGTCGACGGCTCTCTCCCTTGCCCTCCTGCGCTGGTTGACATCGTGCACGGTCCGGTCTATAATCCGGCTCACCGTGTCTGGACAGGGCAGGATCAGGCGAACCTCTCCTCCATCCAGGGGTCGCTCTCTCCGGCCGTTGCTGGGCTTGTTGTCTTCGCCAAGACGTCTCACGAGGCATGGACTATTCTTGAGCGCTCGTTTGCGGCACAGTCGCAGGCTCATGTATCTGGGCTCCGTCGCCAACTTGGGGAGTGTCAGAAGCTTGACTCCACCGCCACTGAGTTCTACAACAAAGTCAAGAGTCTCGCCGACTCCATTGGACAGCCCCTCACCGACTCCGAGTTCAACTCGTTTATTGTCAACGGTCTTGATGAGGAGTATGACGCCCTAGTCGAGATCATCAATGAGAGGGGCAACTCCACGCCCATGCCAGCACACGAGGTCTTTTCACGCCTCCTGCTTACTGAGCAACGAGTCGAGACGCGCCGATCCAGGGGCAACGGCGCCCTCTCGGCAAACGCCGCCACCAAGGGTGGTCGCTCCTCTGCTTCATCCAGGGCTCCTTCGGAGCAGTCACCACCACCTGCCTCGGCCCCTCCTCCTACTGCGACACTACCAGGGGCTGGCGGTCCACGTGTGTGCCAGCTTTGTGGTCGCGATGGGCACTGGGCCTCGAAGTGTCACAAGCGCTTCCAGCGGGGTTTTCTTGGTCTCGGCAATGACGGGAAGGATACACGCAACTTTGCTCGTCAGGTCGCCATGGCTGATCGTCCGCCGCCGCAGAAGCCACAGGGACACACTCAGTCCTACTCCATTGATCCCCACTGGTACATGGACTCTGGGGCGACAGAGCACCTGACCAGTGAGATGGGGAAGCTTCACACTCGTGAACCCTACCATGGCTCCGACAAGATCCACACCGCCAATGGAGCAGGTATGCACATCTCTCATATTGGTCAAGCATCACTTCTCACTAGACATGCCAATAGGAGTCTTCAACTTCGCAATGTTCTTCGAGTTCCATCTGTGACACGTAATCTTCTTTCAGTTCCTAAACTCACTCGTGATAATAATGTGCTTTGTGAATTTCATCCTTTCGATCTTTTTATTAAGGATCGGGGCACGAGGGACATTCTTCTTAGTGGGCGGCTCTGCCAAGGTCTCTATCGTCTGGAGCATCCTGGCGTCGCTCGCGTCTTCAGTGGAGTTCGGGTATCTCCGTCACAGTGGCATGCTCGTCTTGGTCACCCGGCCACACCTATTGTCCGACATGTTTTGCGTCGTCATGAGCTTCCTAGTGTGTCTAGTAATAAAGAGGTAGCAGTGTGTGATGCTTGTCAGCAGGGGAAGAGTCATCAACTTCCTTTTTCGGAGTCCAGTCGTGAGGTGAAACATCCTTTAGAACTTGTGTTTTCAGATGTATGGGGTCCTGCTCAGACTTCTGTTAGTGGTCATAATTACTATATCAGTTTTGTTGATGCTTACAGCCGCTTTACCTGGCTTTATCTTATCAAACGTAAATCTGATGTGTTTGACATTTTTGTTCAGTTCCAAAAACATGTTGAACGCCTTCTCAAGCACAAAATTGTTCATGTTCAGTCGGACTGGGGTGGCGAGTATCGCAACCTTAACTCCTTCTTTTAGTCGCTTGGGATCACTCACCGTTTAGCATGTCCACATACACATCAGCAGAATGGTTCAGTAGAACGTAAGCATCGTCACATTGTTGAAGCTGGTCTGACTCTTTTGGCCCATGCATCTGTTCCGTTTCGTTTTTGGAGTGATGCTTTCACCACTGCATGTTTTCTCATCAATCGTACTCCCACTCGTGTTTTGAATATGAAGACTCCCATTGAAGTTCTCCTTAATGAACAACCGGACTACACCTTTCTCAAGGTGTTTGGGTGTGCTTGCTGGCCCCATCTCCGTCCATATAACAAGCGTAAGCTCGAGTTTCGTTCCAAGAAGTGTGTTTTTCTTGGTTATAGCTCTCTTCATAAAGGATACAAATGTCTTCATGTGCCCACTAATCGTGTCTACATCTCTCGGGATGTTGTGTTTGATGAGCATGTTTTTCCCTTTGCCAAACTTCCTGTGTCCATTACCGAGCCACATGTCATGCATTCATCCTCTGTTGCTTCTGACCAATTTGATGATGTTGCATATTCTCCTCTATTGTTGCCTAACCATGGTGCAGGCACTGGTCGTGGGGCTCGTTTGGAGATTCTGGAAGTGCCATCTTCCTCTTCGTCGCCATCGCCTTCATCCTCGGCACCTTCTGTTGTGCATGAGGAGCACATGGCGCCCCCGCATGGCCTCGGTTTCCGTGCTCATGCACGGCCGATCGACGTCCTGGCCCGGTCGCCTCTGGCTTCTGGGCTGCCTTCGCCATCATCGCGCCCTGCAACCCCGCCGACTGGGCTGGCCTCCTCGGTCCCCGTCTCGCCCAGGGCGTCGGGGCAGTCATCACCAGGCCTGGCCTCGCCCGCCCCTGCCTCGCCCAGGGTGTCTGGGCCCTTCTCACCAGGGCCGGCCTTGCCTGCTCTCGCCTCGCCAAGGCCGTCTGGGCCGGTGTCACCGGAGCTGGCCTCGCCCACTCTCGGTTCGCCCATGGCCTCTGAGCCCCTGTCGTCGGGCCAGTCTTCGCCATGCAGCCCGGAGTCGTCTGTCCCGAGCTCGCTTGAGGTGATTCCTGCATCTCCGGCGACCGTCACGTCTCCGTCACCTTCGCCTCCGCCGGCTCCTGCTGCTGCTCTACATTCACATACGCGCAGTCGGAGTGGCATTTTTCAGCCTAAGCAACGTCACGATGGCACAGTTGCTTGGTTAGCGGCGTGCATGTCTGCTGCTCTCGCAGATCCATCCTCTGAGCCACGCACGTATCAAGCTGCTATGCGCATTCCTCATTGGAGAGAGGCCATGGAGCAGGAGTATCAAGCGCTTCTTCGCAATCAGACATGGACTCTTGTTCCTCCACAATCACGGGTAAATGTCATTGATTCCAAATTGGTTTTCAAAGTGAAGAGGCATTCTGATGGGTCCATTGAGCGCTATAAGGCTCGTCTGGTTGCTCGTGGTTTTCGACAGCGTTTTGGACTTGACTATAAAGACACCTTCAGTCCAGTGGTCAAGCCTACTACCATCAGACTTCTTCTCTCTCTGGCTGTTACTCGAGGTTGGTTTCTTCGTCAGCTTGATGTTCAAAATGCTTTTCTTCATGGTGTCTTGGCGGAGGAGGTTTACATGCGCCAGCCTCCGGGTTTCTCTGATCCGGATCGCCCTGATCATCTCTGTCGTCTGTCCAAGGCAATTTATGGTCTGAAGCAGGCTCCTCGTGCTTGGCATGCTCGTCTTGCAATGGCTCTTCGTGCTCATGGTTTTGCATCATCAACTGCTGACTCCTCATTGTTTCTTCTTCAAAGGCCTGAGGTTACTATGTACTTGTTGGTCTATGTAGATGATATCATTTTGGTCAGCTCCTCTCAGTCGGCTGCTACTGCGCTTGTTCGCTCACTTGGTGCTGATTTTGCGGTCAAGGACCTTGGGAAGCTTCATTACTTTCTTGGTGTGGAGGTTACTTCTCGTGCTGCTGGCCTTGTTATGACGCAGAAGAAGTACTCTCTGGAT